GTTGATGCCGAGAGACCCTAAAATCATTTGGGTGGTTTTGTTGATGCCGAGAGAGCCTAGAATCATTTGGGTGGTTTTGTCAATATTGAAAGACCCTAGAATCACTTGGGTGGTTTTGTCAATGCCGAGAGACCCTAGAATCACTTGGGTGGTTTTGTCGATGTCGAGAGACCCTAGAATCACTTGGGTGGTTTTGTCGATGCCGAGAGACCCTAGAATCATTTGGGTGATTTTGTCGATGCCGAGAGACCCTAGAATAACTCCATCCAAGGCAACATTTAACATGAACATCCAAGACAGCCAACATTGTCAGGTTCTCACATCCATCCAAAGCAACATTTAACATAAACATCCAAGACAGTCAACATCCATCCAAGGCAACATTTAGCATAGGTTCTCACAGCCAACAAAGGCATCATAGGTTCTGAAAGCCAACAAAGGCTACATAGGTTCTCATAGCCATCAAAGGCAACATAGGTTCTAAAAGCCAACAAAGGCATCATCTAGTTCAAAGCCAACAAAGGCAACATAGGTTCTCACAGCCAACACAAAGGCATCACAAGCCGACAAAGACAAAGGCATCTAGTTACTAGAAGCATAGAAGTACTCTTTCAACTTGTATGAAACAATCCTTTTTCTTCCACTCTATCTTGGAGCTTGAAAAGTTGACATGTGGCCTGCAGCAGAGGTAGAGGTTGTACCAGCAGTGGTAGCTTTCTTCCTAGAGACCTCCTTAGAGGAGCAGCAGGTGTAGTGATAGCAGGTGTAGCTTTCCTCCTTGGTGCAGTAGCTGTTGTAGGAGCAGTAGGTGTAGGAGCAGTTGTTGATGGAGATGGCCGCTTCCTTGGTGGTGCAGCAGCTGTAGATGGAGATGGCCTCTTTAATTCCTTGGTGGTGCAGCAGCTGTAGATGCATTTCTTGTTGAAGCAGAATCTTGTGACTGGCTGCATTTCAAAACCAATTAAGGATTGTGAGTTACAATGGAGACAAAATAAAGACAATTGAGGTGCTACTCTATCTAACTTGATGCTGGTTTATTCTCATAGCAAGAGCTGAATTGAGGGGCTTGGAGAAAATATTGTATCTATGCCCTACAAGTTTGCAGTTACCGCAAGTAATAGATGCCATCCTAGATGTATCTCTTGGTGTTGGCTTCTCAAATTGGTTTTTTCTCCTCTTCGTTTGTTGCTTCCCAACCTTGTCTTTGAATACTGGAGGCTCTATGCATGTTCTGAGTTCTTGTCCTTGGCCACAGATTTGGACCAGGTACAGGAAATATGATATGTCCAAATGCTTTTTTATACATTTCCTTCTTGAAGAAATCACTCACAAAGTCCTTAGGCCGCAATTTAGCTTTCACTATTGCAGAAACTGCATGATGGCAGGGCATAGCAATCATATCCCATCTGCATCCAGATTAGAATCATCTTCGATCGGTTAGAAGAACTGGTAGTTTTTGCTTAAGCTTTTTAACATGCTCAGCTGACTTCTTATGTTTCCTAAATTTTGCAATCTTTGTTCTCCTCTTCACCTCCATTAATGTCTCCAGTTCATCCTGATCTACTGCATTGCCTTCATCAATACCATGGTTTGTGCTTTGCTGTGTGGAGTAGAACTGCAGTGGCTCTGGCTGTCTTTGTTTATTGCATTTTGATGGTGATCTGAAGAGAACAGCAGAAGGATTGACTTCATAAACAGGCTTCTCTCCTAATTGACTCAAAGGAACCTGCTCCTCATACACAAATCTTGAATTCAAATCTGCAGGTCTTGGATCAATGGCCCTAATCACTGTCAAGTTCACTAGCTTCTAATCTTTATTAGCAATATGGTCAAGCATTTCATCAACCTTGTCATCATCATAAATTTCATCCAATCCTGTAATCCCCACACCAGGCTCCCTCACAAAATACATGTAATCATTCAGCCCATATCCCTCTGTCTCTATTAGAGTTACCAAATTACAATATGTGATGTCTGAAAGGGATATCGATCTCTCCAAGTTGTCTCTGTCATGGAAGTGCATTCCAACTTCCCAAACCTCATCATCCAAACTAGACACAAAGAAAGTACAAAAAATTTCATTAACAGAGCACAAAATTACTATAATAGAGCACTACTGCAATCAACACTCCATCATTACAATAACAGAGCACTACTGTAATCAACACTGCATAATTAATATAATAGAGCTACTGCCATTTTTCACTGCATAATTACTAATAACAGAGCTACTGCATTTTACACTTCATAATCACTCTAATTTACACTGCATATTTGCCTACAAATGAACTGTAATTAACAATGCCTACTGACTACATCTAGTTCTTCTGCTAGCCAGCTAGGTTTAACAGTGCAAACAAATCAACTTAACAACACATACATCAACACCAATTCGAGGAAGACTAACCCTAACCCTAGAATCGATCTATAGGTCATCAGTGATAAGAAACTGAGAGGGGAAACTTACCAAATGCCACCAAATGATGAGGCAAACCGGTGGCTCTTCGTCGGATTGTCCTTCACGGCCCTGGCCCAAGATCTAGCCGCCGCAAATTCGAGCGAGTGCCCGGGGCTGCGGCTGGGGATGCCCGTATCCAAAGCGCTAGGGTTTGAGCTCCCGCAGAGATATGCCTCTGGTGGCCTATCATCTCCGACACCGGCAGACCCGCCACCACCGCCGCCGCCGCCGTTAACCGTCGCCATGTCTGAGAGGCAAGAGTGCGGGGGAGGAAAAGAGATGGAGAGGACCGGACCGGACGGGACAGGATCAGGTCGGTTTGAGCCGAGCGGCTCGAACCGGTGTGGGGCACGGCGTCTAATGCCGTCTGATGGCTCGGACGGAGGAACAGTGCCGCCACGTTGACAAAAAGGGGCCTCATATGTCACAATCTGACTTAAAATGACCCAACCGACCGACTAGTGTTTTTTGCAAAAAAAAAGAAAAAAAAATAGTGGTTTTGGGCACAATTACGTAGACTTGTGGTTCCTGCAAACCTAGCCTTCAATGTCGTGGTTTTTTGCAATTCACTCGTTTGCTATGAGACCTCACTGAAAAATTTCCGAAACAATTCCTACTGTTTGGCGGCTCGTCTGCCTTGGTAGCGTAAGATCCATTCCATACATCTGATCTGATTTACTACATTTGCACCATACAAATTATGGACGATCTCTTATGTATACTTCAATACTTTCAGTGCCCAAATGACCTTTCTCACCGGTGCCATCTTTGGCAACAAAAAGGACGAAGCAAACACGAGTTAAACATCAGACTACACCTACACATGTCATCAGCACCAGATAATTAGCATTTTTCTTGCCCATTCTCTTCAGAGTCCATTGTATACCAACTGTATGATTATGTAGTAAATAATCTATATTTCTAGGTATTGTCATTTTGATGGAAAAAAACTTCTTGGTACATGAAGATTTTGGATACTAGATCAATTGTTTTTTGAAAAAAAAAACACAAAATTTTGCCAACCATTGCGTCCTTCATCCATACAATCAGGGCGACGAGGAGCTGCACAGCAGAGAGGTGCCGCCGCCTGGGCAAGGGAGGGATAGGCAATGGGTCGATGCAGAGCAGGAAAAATACTACACCAGATTCAATATTTGCATAAGTCATATGATTGATGGACTTAGATGGAGATGTGACGACCGAAGAAGCTGTCAGGGAGAGTTTCATCATTATAATGTCACATATGCTTTGGGTGGGAGGCTCGAACCCTCCTCGAGATCAGATCACCGCCTCATGTTCTGTATGACAGACAGTTCTACAGCTTGTTCTGTTAGTAACTAACCACATACAGGTGTGAGAATCCTCTGCCGTCTGAGAACATATAAATCTGGAGCATAATGCTGCAAATTAGTAGGGTTTGCTCGGTGAGAATCCTCTGCCGTCAGAGAACATTCAAATGAGCAACAGCTCGTTTTAAATTCAAAGTGAACAAAGGCAAAAAAAAAAGGAAAAAGGAGAGACCAAGGTTCAGATTTGCTCGGTTTCACCTGATGAATCAGATGTACCATATGGCGACCCAAGTTGCCACTGAGCTTTTCATCTGGTCTCTTTTTAGAGTGTGGGGTGAGAGAGGCTCGAACTCTCGACCTCAGGATCACTCGCATTGTTTCAGCTATGAGACCTACGCGCTAGCCAACTGCGCCACCACCCCACTTGTTGTTTCAGCAGCGAAACAAACATCCTTATACAGATCTGAAGATAACTTCCATATTGCACTTGTTTCTGTAACATGTTTCCTGACATGTAGCACTTCCCTTCCAAGGCCGGTCGAGAGCTACATTGATTTTTAATAGTACTTCTTCCGATCATCCACTTAAAAAGCAACATGCATAATTTTTCAGTTCTGTTTGGCGCACGGTGAATTTGAGATGGACTTGTTCGTATTGGAGTCAAAGTTCAATTTAACCACACGGATGGGGATCAAGTTCTGTAAATTCTGTACGCAAATACCTGCTTGGATTTATTCAAATCTAAGGTATTAATAATAGAACAATACACAGAAAGATAAAAGAAGAACACGAGCGCAGTGCCATTCTACCAACATGATCATTCTAGCTCTTGGTTCAGCGATTTGCACATGGTCCAAGCCAACAATCAGTTTTATCAGTCACGCCAATGATCATGTTTCCAAGGACTGCAGGTCTACGGCATGTCAATATTTAGGACACTGACATACAGTTACACAACAATGCAAAACTTGAGAGACATTGCTTCAAGGGTCGTTACACATGAACACCTTAGTGTCGATATTTTGGTGGAGTAATACTTGGGAGCAATCACCAAAACACCTTAATCATTCGGTTACAGCTAACTGTTGCAAAGATAAAAAAATAAACAGCTAACTGTAGCATTTACATAATTTCTTTCTCGTAACTCATAACCATAATCCGAAATTCAGGATCGCAGTATCCGTTAAGGCATTTCATTCATCACGAACCGGAACAGGGAGTCTCAAACTTTTAGAGCTTCACTGGAACTGCAATCATTTCTTGTGCAGAAGAACTAGTACTGGAGCAACTGGCCTGTTGATCATTTCAAACTTGCAGCTCACCCATGTATCAGCAGGCAAGCTTGACGCAAATGATTCAACAATATCGAGTTCATCCCTACAGATAAGAAAGTAAGGAAGGTGATAAATGGATTCAGTCTTACATGTATATGATAGAAGTATAAAGTTAAACAACAAGCTTGACGCAAATGATTCAACAATTTCGAGTTCATCCCTGCAGATAAGAAAGTGAAGAAGATAAATGGATTCAGTCTTAAATGATAGTTGATTGGAGTTTGATATTAAACAACAAGATTCTGATGTCAAGTTACAAGCAAGTCTATAGTCAAATATTATTAACCACCAAATACCTACACTACGAAAAATTTCCATCATCATGATGAAGGATGGCCGATCCACCTTCTTCTGGCTAGATACTTGGCGTCATCAACTACCGGTAGCTGCCGCTTTTCCAAATATTTTCTCTCACTCAACTGAGCCTAATATTTGGGTATCCTCAGCATGTCTGACAGTCTATATCTAATGTGAGGAATCACCTAATTAATGTGGCCTCCCTCGAATTGCAGTCGCTCTTGTCTTTGTTGCAGTGTAGAAAGCGATTGGAAGAATTGACAGTTTTATTCATCCGTTGACAGCGTACATATACAACAAGGCATGCATGCCATTAACCACTAACAACAACCTTGGCTAAACTCTAGCTAACAGCCTACAGACTAAGGTGCAGATCGTGTGCAGTAGAACGTGCAACAGATCGTGTGCATGTGGGTGTAGCTACTCCTGAGGATGCGTTCCAACATGCAGGACTTCCAGTTTGAGCTTGGTAATGACAAATGCTTCCTCAAGCATGCCTACAACCTCCTCATGCATGAGGAGGCCATAGATCCAAACGCCGCCTCAATTTGCGAAAGCAATGTGCCGAACAAAGTCAAGGACTTTGGCTGGCTACTATTCTGCAATCGCCTCAACACCAAGCTAAACCTCCACCACAAGCACATTGTGGACTCAAGCTCCTGCCTGAGATGCCAACTGCGCACCTATTCCTCCACTACCCCCCTTTGCCACATGGATTTGGCAAGGCCTAAGGTATCGATCTACATCAACAGGATATCAATACTATTTGGGAGGTGCAACCGCCTATATACCTCTAACAGCAACAGTGTGGCATGCCGCACTCATCGACGCCCCATGGAAGATTTGGGATGCAAGGAATCGCGCACCTTCCGTGATGGTCGCATCGATTTACTAAACCAGCTGGCAAGGTAGCCGCCGATTAAGGCTATACCTTTCTTCTCGTCTACTAACTGGCCTCGGCCATCTATTTCAGGTGCAGGCCACACTACACTGGCAATCAGTAATTACTTAAAAACCTAACAAACTAGCAATCACTGATATAATATTAGCAGTTGCGAAATGATTTTTACCTTCCACCCAGATGCCCAATGTAGACAAGGACACTTATGAGTCCCCCTGAGCTAACAATTCTGCTGGCAGCTTGCAGTGCCAGCTCAGTTGTCTCAGGTACTGTGATAATTGTTTTATCTCCTCCTGGAAGGTAGCCCAGATTGAATGCTACAAGCCTAAAAGTACATGCTCAAGATCATAGTTACTTGAACCGCCAATTTCAGCAATAATGGAATCATATAATTAAAACGAATGAAGTAAAAGAATTTAATCACCTGACAGGAGAATCTTTTGGAACAATTTCCTCCATTCTACTGTGACATTTTGTAAACAACTTGACTAGCTCCATCTGGTGGAAAAAAATATAGAGTTGAGCCAGCACATGACACAAAACTGAGGCTTCATCTCTCATGAGAATATCGCAGTGAGCCTTTTTTTAGTTCTTCTTCCAAATTGTAAGGTCCAGGTGGAAAAATATCACACTGAAAACACTTAGACCAAGAATACTAGTGTATTTATGTGAGTATGCTACAAAATAATAATCATATACACTGTTTTATGTTTCTTCATGTTTCGTCTCTTCTTTGATTCTTTCTCAAAGGAAACTCATAAGAGAAGCCACATTGTGTATAGTCCTCAAACAGACCAACAACAATGCTAAGTTGCTTCAAATGCTGAAATGCACATACCTCGCGACTGTCGACGGCCATTTTCAGAAAAGAGGAGGTGCTATCGATCGCGGAATCTTGGATGTCCATCCCATAAACACGCCCTCGCCCAGTTTCATCGGACACCATCTTAAGCAGAGCAAACGTATCATTTCCGTTCCCACAGGTGGCATCGACCACCGTGTCTCCTTTCTGAACGATGCTCCTCCACACCCTAATAATCAGGTAACAGCGTAACAACAGTTAGGAACGAGAATGCTGCCCTGCCCTGCTGCTAGAAGGCGACTCAGGTTGGGCGAAAAACTGCGTTTAGTTTCAGCAACGGGAAGGAAGCAGAGTGCCTACGCGTGGGCTACCTCGGTGGCCTTGCGCTTGCCGGCGACGAAGCCCGCCACCGCCTCCTCCGCCCCTGCAACCAATCCCGGTCACGACATCGCGCGGCCGGCACGCGTTATTGAAGGGGGAAAATAAATAGATAATGCGAACCTGCGGCGGAGAGCGGGTCGGCGAGCTGCGCGGCGGCGGCGGAGAGGTGCCGCCGCTTGGGCGGGACGGGCAGATGGGATGGAGTGAAGCTGGGGATTCGTCGGAGAGGAGACGGAGTATGGGAGCGGCGGAGGAGGAGCGAGAGCGGAGGGCGCAGCAGTGACGGCGGAGGCATGGCTGCTGCGGTGGTGGTGGCGGCGGCGGAGACCGTGAGGATTGGTATTGGTACCCAGCAGACGCAGCGAAAAAGAGAGACCAGGTACAGACTTGCTCTAGTCAATCTGATGATTCATCTCCACGCGGGATGTATTTCTTGTCCACATACTAGAAGGATTTTCTTTTTGTTTGTTTATTAAAAAACACCATATATTAATTTGTTTCAGAAAAGATCTGGTTTATTTTTATAAAAGTTCATCAAAAGTACACACCATCTCAAACATGATAAAAAATACATCGAGAATCCAGGACTACCGGACGACCACTACTACCATCCGAACAAGTCGACGACGTGTACTGTTGCTGCTCCCATACTAAAGCCGGTTTGACCTTGTCGACGACAACGGAAAAGTCTTTTGTGCACGTGTCCCTAAGGATAAGAGGGGACCAACAAGGCCCTGGCCCCTCCTAACATCAGGAATATGCTCCTAATTTACTGATGGACAACACATAATTAGTAAATTTTTGGTACTAAAAAACTAATTTTCCTATGCTTTGGCCCTCCCGAGTCTATTACAATAACACTCAACCCTCCTGGTCTATTTCTTTTGGCTTCGCCACTGGTCGTCGCCGTTCAACCCTGGCATAGATCTGAAGTAACTGACATCAAATCCCGTCATATTGCAAGAAATTATAATGTCAGAGCTCCAGCTCCTCCCTATTTGTTTAATGTCGTCATATTGTGGCCGTCACGACAACGCACGGCCGGCACACGTTATTGAAGGGGGAATGAATAGATAAGGAAACCCGCGGCGGAGAGCGGGTTGGCGAGCTGTGCGACGGAGAGGTGCCGCCGCTTGGGCGGGACGGGCAGAGGGGGTGGGGTGAAGCTGGGGAGTCAGCAGAGAGGAGATGGAGGACCAGGTTCAGAGTTGCTCGAGTGAATCTCATGATTCAGATGTACATGTGGCGACCCAAGTTGCCACTGAGCGTTTCATCATGACGATGGTCCTTTCTTTTAGGTGGGGTGAGAGCAATGACATCAGAGGCAATGACATATGCAGCGGGCGCAATGACATCAGAGGCAATGGCGTTGAGAGACGGACTGGACTTGGCAAATAGCCTAGGGTTCCAACGAGTTGAAGCGGAATCCGACTCTCTAACGGTGATCAACTGCTACTCTGGTCAGAGTACTTGGTGGGATGCGGTGGCAGCGATATTCGCGGAATGTGTGGACATCTCTACCTTAATTGGGAAGGTCAACTTTAAGCATTGTTTTCGATCAGCAAATCAAGCAGCACATGTGCTAGCTAATTTTTGTTATTGTAATAAACTTTCTTCTAGTTGGACTGACGAGCCTCCAGATTGTCTGATGAGCAAGCTCGTAGATGATGTATCGTTATGCATTAATCAATAAAGCTAGCCATGATGGCCTTCCCTAAAAAAAGGTGGGGTGAGAGCATCTTCAGCCGGTGGGGTGAGAGCATCTCCAGCCGGACTTGCCAAATCCAACCTCCCAAACGTCCGCGGACGCGTCCGAGCGGGTCAAGAGACAGTGGCCGGGCATGCCTCAAAAATACATTTCACATACGGATACCTCACATCCATATTATTACATGCAACGTGAAACCTAATCTAAATAGAGCTCGCCCAGTGCCGCTCCCCGCTCGCCCGGCTCCGCCCTGGCCATGTCCGGCGGCCAACTGCGCTCCTCAGAATGTTGGTCTGGCCATTGATCCGGCAGCGGCACCGAGTAGACCTAGACGGCGGGAAGGGCAGGACGCTCCTCATCGAGGGAGCGTCCATCATGATGGCCCCATCTTGACGGCAGCATGGTGGCCTCGCGTCGGAGTATGGTGCGAACCCTAACCCTCAATCCCCTTTCTCTATTCGTTCGCTCTAAACAAGGGGGCGATGATTGTGCGGGAGTTGATGATGTTCACTTTGAAATCTTTTTGTGCTAGGACCACTCGAGGAGCCATTCTTAGTAGAGATTCACCATCGGGAATTATTTTTTGTGGCCAAGGGATGAACAAGTCTTATGTTTATGGATCGACCGACACATTTGATCGATGTGAAGTAGACACCTGGTCTACACTATGGTTGAAGATTTTCTTAGAAGAACTTGGACATGATACATGTAAAGCCCAAATTTGGTTTCTTCCTGGCATGAACCTGGATGTTGGTTTGAGTATCATGGACATGGATGAAGATTGTCTTAGTATGGCTGTAGTAGGGCCCAAGTTCCAATTTTTTAAGTTGTATGTGCACCAAGTTGACCTGTACAATGATCTTCATTTTGATTATGTTTGCATTATAGGCTCACCATCACTAACAAAAGTTTGAGCCTTCAAAAACCAATGATTTCTGCACAGAATTCCATGAGGGGTCCTAGGTTGAAGACAATGGTAGCAAAAGGCAACTTAATGTATGGACTGGGGCTATAGTGGTAGAACATGCAATAATATTGGACAAAAAGGAAGGTGATGTAAAAGAGTACCAATTGCAGAGGACAAAGAAAGTGACCGATGACAATGATGATAGTGACTATGCAGATCAGGTTGATTGAGACAATGACATCGACAAAGATTATGATGATTTGTTTCTAGAGTGGGTCGATGAGGAGCCTCAAGATAATAAAGCAAAAAAAAGAAGGCAAAAGAGCATGACATTGATTTCTGACTATGATTCTGATGATCTTCAACTCCCGGCTTTAGAAAATGAGGAAGAAGAGTCAGATCATGAAGTGGTTTCGGAGAAAGGAAAAAAGAAGAAAAATAAGAATGTAAAGCTTAGGGCATTCAAACCAAAGGACATGATTGCTCCCACATTTGAGATAGGGATAGTGTTCCCTACAACTGTTGATCTCAAAGCAATCCAAGAGTATAGTATCCAGAATAATGGTGCTATGAAGTATGCCAAGAATGATAAGCAAAGGATCAAGGCACACTGTGAGGAAAATTGCCTGTGGTATCTATTTGCAGCTCCTGACAGTGGGGATTAGAGTTTTGTGGTGAAAACATATGTTGGAACTCACACATGTAATAAAAGAGTGGGAGTTGAAAGCATTCATTCCAAAGTACTGCAAGGTATATGTCGATGCCATGAACCTAGGGTAGGGTCATAGGTCCGACCTATACGCCCTACCCAAGGTCATGTTGGAAATATGCCCTAGAGGCAATAATAAAATGGTTATTATTATATTTCCTTGTTCATGATAATTGTCTATTGTTCATGCTATAATTGTATTAACTGGAAACTGTAATATATGTGTGAATACATAGACCACAACATGTCCCTAGTGAGCCTCTAGTTGACTAGCTCGTTGATCAATAGATGGTTATGGTTTCCTGACCATGGACATTGGATGTCATTGATAACGGGATCACATCATTAGGAGAATGATGTGATGGACACGACCCAATCCTAAGCATAGTACAAGATCGTGTAGTTCGTTTGCTAAAGCTTTTCTAATGTCAAGTATCATTTCCTTAGACCATGAGATTGTGTAACTCCCTGATACCGTAGGAGTACTTTGGGTGTACCAAACGTCACAACGTAACTGGGTGGCTATAAAGGTGCACTACAGGTATCTCCGAAAGTGTCTGTTGGGTTGGCACGAATCGAGACTGGGATTTGTCACTCCGTATTACGCAGAGGTATCTCTGGGCCCACTCGGTAATGCATCATCATAATGAGATCAATGTGACTAAGTAGTTAGTCATGGGATCATGCATTACAGAACGAGTAAAGTGACTTGCCGGTAACGAGATTGAATGAGGTATTGGGATACCGACGATCGAATCTCGGGCAAGTAACATACCGATTGACAAAGGGAATTGCATACGGGATTGCTTGAATCCTTGACATCGTGGTTCATCCGATGAGATCATCGTGGAACATGTGGGAGCCAACATGGGTATCCAGATTCCGCTATTGGTTATTGACCGGAGAACGTCTCGGTCATGTCTGCATGGTTCCCGAACCCGTAGGGTCTACACACTTAAGGTTCAGTGACACTAGAGTTGTTATGGGAAATAGTATGTGGTTACCGAAGGTTGTTCGGAGTCCCGGATGAGATCCCGGACATGATGAGGAGCTCTAGAATGGTTTGGAGGTGAAGATAGGTATATTGGACGAAGGGTATTGGAGTCCGGAATTGTTCCGGGGGTACCAGGTGATGACCAGCGTGTCCGAAAGGGGTTTCGGAGGCCCCGGCAAGCGTTGGGGGGCCTTATGGGCCAAGGGGAGAGGGCACATCAGCCCACTAAGGGGCTGAGCGCCCCTCCCACCCCATCTCACGTAACCAGGAGAGGTGGGGGCGCCACCCCTAGGGCAGCCGCCCCTCCCGGCTTGGGGGGCAAGTTTCCTAGGGGATGGGGGCGCCCAAACCCATCTAGGGTTTCCCCTGTGGCCGCCGCCCCTCCCCTAGGGAACCCTAGGGCGCCTCCCCCTCCTCCCTTTCCCCTATATATAGTGAGGGAGAGAGAGGGCAGCCGCACCCTTCCCCTGGCATAGCCCCTCCCTCCTCCAACACCTCCTCCTACTCCGTAGTGCTTGGCGAAGCCCTGTCGGAGAACCACGAGCTCCATCACCACCATGCCGTCATGCTGCTGGAGTTTTCCCTCAACTTCTCCTCACCCCTTGCTAGATCAAGAAGGAGGAGACGTCCCCGGGCTATACGTGTGTTGAACACGGAGGCGCCGTCCGTTCGGCGCTAGATCGGATCTTCCGCGATTTGAATCGCCGCGAGTACGACTCCATCAACCGCGTTCTTGTAACGCTTCCGCTTAGCGATCTTCAATGGTATGAAGGTGCACTCGCTCTCTCTCTCGTTGCTAGTCTCTCCATAGATTGATCTTGGTGATGCGTAGAAAATTTTGAATTTCTGCTACGTTTCCCTACAGTGGCATCATGAGCTAGGTCTATGAGTAGTTTATATGCACGAGTAGAACACAAGTTGTTGTGGGCGTTGATTTTGTTCAATATGATTTCCGTTACTAGTCCTATCTTGTTTCG